TATCCATGTAAAAGGAGATGGGCTGAAAGCACGACTCACAGCTATAAAACTAGTACATAGTAAGTCGATACCATCCATAAGATAGCTTTCTTCATTTTCATCTTCTTAGCCCAAGACAACCAGCATTTACATGCTAATAGTCCAAAGTTATAAGATATGCGTATTTTTGCTTCGTGAATTTACTATTTTGATCTTCTGATTTGTCTTGACTACTATCAGGATACTTAAAACGTAATACTTCCAGAGTTGGTACTTCGATTACGGTGACAGAAAGCATGAAAGGGATCATCATAGAACACCTGAGAATAGCCGACAACATAAACACTTAAACGGTCTGTAACTTACATAAGATATTAACCCGTTCTGATGGGACAGCCTAGCAGAACACGAAAATTTTTGCTAAACCAAGCAACATTATGTTATTGATGGTTTCGATGTAACTAATATTTTATCTTCATCAGATTATGTTTTTGACTTTGTGGACTGGTTGAAGTTAGACATTAACACAGTTGGATGCCGGCTCAGTGGTCTAGTGATTAAGAGTCCTCACGCGAGACTGATAGGTCCTGGGTTCGGATCTCGCGGGGCAGGATTGTTGGTGCGCACTGCTGAGGAGTCCCGTACTAGGATGAAATGGCCATCCAGTGCCATTAGGTTTTACATGGTGGTATAGCTTTAATTGACTCATGAATTCAACTATTAAATCCGTATTTCTCGAATAAATCTCAACGCATTAAGATGGATTTTTACGTAGAGATTTCAGCACATTTATGGGAGTTTTCTTTGTGCAATATATATATATTACTATCTGAATACTGACAGTATCAACTAGTTGGATTATTTTGGAAAATTTCTTGGTTGTCGTTACTAAGTATCCTATCTCATCTATCATGTTCAATATTTGACCTACGACAAGCTTAATATTGACATTTGTTTGCAGTTATGTTCCTTCCATCGTATTATTCCCACTTATGTGTTCTCTGGTTGGTAGTGTGGCGGCAAATAAATCACTAAAAGATATAGTTCTGTACGTCTATGAAATTTGATGCTTACCTCATTAGTATTACTGGACACAACTATCTGAAGGCGCTCGGTCACTCATCAGTACCAAACTACGAGTGGGTTTCTCGTGCTACGCATTCTTTGCAACTACTAGCCAGCTTAGACCAAACTCTCCTCAACAAATCGATAGCTTTCCAACTACATCTTCGGACTTCCTTCATTTCCGAATTGTGATCTGATGGGTTGGTATCCTTCGATCATAAAGGTGTTAACTGTAAAGGCGTTGTCAAAGTCCGAATACCTGTGGTATCTTTAGTGGCAATTTGTTTTACCAGATCTTTTAGGATGTTGCCAGTCGTACTGATTTATCAATCTTCGATTGCACTTACTTGCACTGATTGATCTAAATTCTTAGTTTTCTGGATTGAAGTGCACTTCTCGTTTGTTAGAAACACTCATTAATATAACAAGAAGTTAGTATTTACGACAATTAACACTTTGTAGCTAACATTACCAAGGTTCGATTTAATAGTTTGAATAAATTGAGCATTGGATAGATTGTTATGTATAAATAATACATTTATAATATGCCAATAAGTAGAAAAATTAAATTTTAGTTAGTTATTCTCTGAAGAAGTGGCCCACACCAAGTCACGAAACGTCAGAAAATCTAATTTTTCTACTCATTGGGATAATATAAATATATTATTTATTTATAATTAACACTTTGTCTACTGTTTGTCTCGCAGATCTGATCATTCACCTTTCTGTGGATTAAGCTGATCTGTCGCGTAGAATAGAACCATGAGTTTTGCTTTGCAGAAACATCGTTATTGTCTGACAAGTAACTGATTTTGTAGTCCGCCATACATTTGTAACTAATATTTTTACAATTCAGCTGTACCTCGTTTTGGATGTTGAGCTAGCCGTACTGTTCATATCCTAGAACTGTTCAAGTATGCTGAGTAAGTGGTACTTTGGACCTATTTTATGTGAAGTTAGTACTATACTTTTAGGTAATCTACTGCGTTCTTGCTTTATCAAGCGGTGTGTGTCACAAGCAAGAGACATTAATCCTGCAGGTTGCCCTTCGAAAAATCTAGCAGTTCTGTGCAGACAAACACCATATCCTATAACCACGTGTTAGCAAACATGTATGCGCTGTTATATACGGCTTTTATGTCATCCGCTTTTTTACTAGACGTAGTTGGTGGAATTTACTCGTAGGAAGTAATGTGATTTTCTCGTTTACTGCTCCGTTCTGTGACTTTCGGAAAGTTGGTTTTAATTAATTTGTAAAGCGACGAACAAGCGTAGTGATACAGTAACTGCAAAAATAGACTGCTTATCTTCTGTTCAGTGAGACCCAGAATTACGGCAAAAGCTTCACGTAGGTCTAACTAGCGTGGTTGTAAATATTTTAGAAAAGATCATTTGGAAGGAATTGTTCAAGTATCTCTATGGAAACCGGATATTCCTGAGAGGCAGCACGGCTTTAGAACATGTCTTTATGTTGTAGTGACTTACATTTACCACGAGAACACGACTGGTTTAATAAAAATGCTTATTACTACAACCAAGTGTACCAGTGACTGTTTTAATGTGCTTTTGTTTGACTGTGCTAATGACAGCTATTTTGTGCTTCCATTCTTATACTTACACTTTGATTGTAACTTCGCGCGAATTCGGTTACGTTCTGTAACCAAGCTTGTATCCTGGCACGATCTCAGTATCCTTTCGATGCCACGAGATCGCCAGCAAATAAACATCGACTTGGTCCATTAATTGCCTTCTGGTATTTGGCTTCTCGGAGATTTTATGGGTTTCTTTGGTTACGTTCAACCTACGCCTTCTGATTTATTTGGCACGTGTTTCTTGGTAGCGGTGTTCATAGTTAACCTCAACTCAACGCCACGCTACAATGTATTGCCAACTTAATAGTAGCCCCGTGAAAGTTGTTGCTCTGTTAAATATCAAAGTTTTCCTATGAGTCTAGCCAATGTCCACTTCGGCAAGGCTTTTGACGAAGTTACTCAGAATCAGCTGTCATATGAGTCAAGTAAAATCGGGATTGGAGGCAATTTATTTAGGTGGATAAGAAGCGTCATCAAATAGAATGGTTAAACACAAAGTTGTCTATCTAGGAAACTGTGTCAAGTAGAATGCCTCATGGTACAGTCTTAAGGTCAGTGTTGTTCCTCCTGTGTGTAAATGACCTTTCTAGGATACTATCATCACCGATTTTTTATATTCTCACGATGTCAAAATAAGAAGAGTGATAAAAGGTCAGTGTAATAGTTTAGAGTCTCAAAATGATAAAGTGAAATCATCCGAATTGTTCAAAACTAGGCAGTTGCCGATAAATGCTCCCAAGTGCATTACGATGCATGTTGGTCACCAAGGTACAGACACATATACGGTGAATAACAGTGTGGTACTCGATGTTCAGACACCCATTCACTAAGAAGCCATTGTTACCTAGGACTTCAAAGGTAATCCAAACTGCTGTGAGAAAGACGTCGAAGGTTTCAAAACTTCATGATCAATACGTAGACCCTTTAGCCATGTCCATGTTTAAACCATTTCTAGCCGACCTTATATTTTTCATATAAAGTATCTTAACAAGTTTGTTATGTGTGATCAGATTGTTCGAAATGTATTGCTCAATTATACCACATAATTCTGATAATATTCATGTACTTTGTTGGTGATATAAGTCTTTCGCGTTAATGTAACCTATTTGGTTAAAATTTAATAGCTAAAAATAAAAACGAAATATAAATCCAAGATAATATTCCTCTAATGTGTGAGATACTGTTCGCTACATACATGAGATTTAAAAGAATATACTGAAAAATATTTTAATCTCAGATGACTAAAGAATTCCCTATGCAACTATGAAAATTTAAAATCTATACAGTCAATCTTTTCTAATCAATTTTCATATTCGTGTTTACCATAATAAGAAAACGAAGTTTAATCCTGGCCGACGTGTTTCTCAGTTGCATACATTTGTAAGGCCAGTGAAATGTCACTGAGCCCTAGACAAACCATTCGGCATTTGGGTCACTGAATATCGAACAGATCGTCTATTCCTGTCAATGTCAAGGGCGAACAACGCGCATCAGTTAATCGTATGCCGTGAACTGGCCCATGCGGTGGTGGCTTCCGATCATTCGACATAGATCACCCACCTTGGTGGTCTAGAACATGTAGAAGAACCAGAGGTAACTAGATCACAGTTTTTAAATTACTTAGTGATGAATTTGTATTTGATATGCCTTCATGTTTATTGTCCGTCAAATTAGAGGATTTACAAGAACAATATAACATCGCTCACATGTGCAGAACAAATCACATGTCACCTGACTGTCGACTTTCCCATCGAATTCATTGCCTCAACACGTAATTTTAGCTCTATCAGTGGACGCTTTCAAAAGAAAGTCAGATAAACTAAAAGATCACGATAGCTAGGGCTAACACAGGACACCTAGACTCCTGTCCTTTTTAAACTGAGAGTGATATGTCGTGAGGTACTTGATCGAAGATTGGTGGTTTTCGTGAGGGTTGCGTAGCACGGAGTAAGCAATGACGATGTGATGAAAATGATGAACCGAGTGCTGTTAGCTATAGTGTAATTAGTGAAACTATATGTGGGATTTGTTTCAGATACATGTGGTCGAATTCTTTCACTTTTGACCCCTGGTTTGACTAGGTTAGTGTTCTTCCGATTATGAAGCTGTCATGAAGAATAACGTTGCTAAGCAATTGTGTGCGTGATATCTTTGGCAGAAAGAGAGAACCAGACAAAGTGAGGACGCACTTTCCAACCGCCTTCAGAACTCATTTTCTTATACTATTAGGCTGATGAAGCTTCAAAATTCTCACTTTAATCGTTTTAGAACATAGGAGACAAATTTAATGGCAAACCGTCGAAAGATGAATATCACGAAAGAATAGAGATACTATTCAATAGTGTGGTTTACATAATAAACGACAGGATGTCTTCGATAGGAAATGTAACAGCAGGAGATTCGTTTTACTATCTGTAACATTCGTTTGAACGACCTTGACCAGTAAAAAGTCACGGCGGGTTTCACGTATTGCAAGGAGTTTTCGCAGTTGTGTGTTCGTGTGGGTTATGAAATGTTTTTAGTATTGTCATTTTTTGGCACTATATTAATGTCTAGAAATTACACAGATCGTTTCACATAGCTCAACTGGCTCTTTTTCCCTTTTTAGTGCTAATGTTAACTTGCTTGTTACTCTTCAACAGGCTTCACACAGCGAACTGAACGGTTAAAAAAATAGTTTTTAACCAGAATATCATTGTGGTGGGTAGATTTTTAAACTTAAATGCAGAATCTCTTTATGAATAGTTAGAGTCTTCGTCTCAAACTAACAAAGTATATAATTGTGTCCGCGTTAACGCGCGGATATAATATACTTATTTGTGTGGTTAAGCATAACGTAAAAATCGGTTTTCCTCGTCCATATACATAGTTTCTGTAGTTAACAAAGTTCTGTCATGTCGAAATGTTTTTTTATTTCGTCTTCAGTTTACTCAGTATTCCGTATGATGCACATTGTTAGTGAACTGCATCACTTTCATCATTGGAATAGGTACTCTAACACGTAATAAAGGTACGATATTATATCACTTCATACCGCTCACACTCGTCATGCATTTTTCACGTCATATAGAACATAAAACTTACACGGCTTAAATTAAAAAATGATACACTAAAATTTGTGATATCTACCTTATCGTCGTTTTGTAAGCCGAATCAACAATATCTATAGATACTTATATCTGGACTCGCTGTATTCGTGTCTGGACTGAGCTCCTAAAGTTTAACGACCTGTTTTAGCATGCTAAATATTTCTAGCTGCATTCCGCAACCTGAAAATATATTGTCTTAAGAAGTTCTGAGATCTGAGGAAATTTGAAGAAAAATCCTAAACCTGTAAGAGTTTTCAGCGTTGTAGTTGCATATTTCCAAAATGTTCTTAAAATGTTAATCAAAATTTCTGAAAGCTGGAAGGCTAGGTAGTAGTATAGACGAGACTAATTTCTGGACGATCTTTTTGCGACGCTAAAGTGACATTGAGAGTGTCCACCTACTATTTTAGGGATAAATGAGGGTTGTAAATCAGCATAAAGGATAGAGGCTATGATTCACAACTGCTAGCTAGGTTTAGTCATTAGATCGGCTAAAATGCCAAACCCTTATTTGGTCAAATGCGCGAATGAATTTCGCGGAAAAATGTGAGGCCTCTCATTCTAAGTCTGATTGGATCGTCTATAAATTAGTCTCGCTCACATTTACATGTGAAGACTTAAGCCCCTCATAGTTTTCAAACCATTTGTCGTAATCTAGGAGTTTGTTCTTTCATATTCACTTTATCTAGTGATGGTTGTAACTGTACTTGTCTCGTTCATCTACTTAAAGTTATCTCGTCACACGCGTTTTTATTACTCAAGCCATCTGGACTCAATAGTTGTCATTGGCGACTATGGGACCTCATTTTCGTAAGTACCATACATCTGTAATTAATCTCTTACAATAACTTCTGTTGTGGCACTTGGGAAACACTTATACTTCTTGAGGAGTAAATGTCCGTACTAAGCTAAGGTCATTGTTCAACTAAAAAATTAGGCTTAAACGTTTGTGGTCATTAAAGTGTTTTAGATTGCTTCCTAGTCGAATTGTGTTGTTATTTTACTCCTACATTTAATAATTTGTATGATATTAATTCACCGATGCGCTCAAATATCTCTTTTCAGCCTAGCAGTCTGTATCTGTATCATGGAATATTTGGCACCTCTTTCCTCATCGTTGTTTGTAGTACGAAATGCCGAACACGTGTGCATTAACATGGAGAACATTCAACGTTTAGTGGGAATGGTTAAGTTAAAATAGTATTATGACAAGTGATAAAGGTATGCGAGAAGTATTGCCCATTTGATTTGAAGTCTTGGATCAATCAGGAACTAACCCCTAGTGTTGCTGACGAACGATCAATTGAATGGTAATTTTTACCATATTAATATCTGGGGCCATCTAGGATATTTGTGACTTCCTTACTCAATTTTTCATTTTGGAGTAAGAGTCAGGATAGTTTTGAAGTGTTATATTGCAACAAAATTTATACGGGCTATTGGGCCCTCTGTGCAGCAGTTAACCGAGCCATCGATGTAAGTCGAGGAACTTTAATCGTTTGTGTCTTTAGGAAGGGGTAAACTTGTTAAATCCTGAAGTATATCAAACTGTGACAGAGGAACAATTGAGACATATATTTCGTTCACATACAGCTGAGCCTATACCATTATTTGATGAAAGATTAAATGCTCTGAGATGTGCTGGGAAAACTTTACTTGAGAAATTCGATGGGTCATTTAAAAATGCTCTGTCCTCGTGTGAAAATTCTGCGGCAAAGCTTCTAAAGTTATTGTGTGATTATTTCCCTTCTTTCCGCGACTATAGTATATACAAAGGAAAACACGGTATTTATTTTCGTTCCTTTATCTTTTCAGTGTCATTCTTAAAACGTGCTCAGATCTTGATTGGTGATTTGTGGTACTGTTTTGAGGGCAAAGGGTTGGGGTATTTCCACGATATAGATGAGATTACTGCGTTTGCTGATTACAGGTACCATCTTTCCCTACGTACAAAATATCATTTAGAGTTCCACAAGTGTTATATTATTTTGGTGCTATAGAATACAGTGAGGATTTAACAAAAAGGATACGCAATGGTATTTTTTTATATAATTGTGGATCGTGTTCATATTAGTTTTTTAATCTTTATCTGCTTTAAATCTATTGCATTTAGACTTAATTCTTAGTACTTATTTTTAGACACGTTACGTTGCATACTTGATTTTTCAGTCCAGTGTGTTCGATTGTAAAGCGGTTCACCAACTAAATTACTGAGACAACGGTAATCAAGCAATTACAGTGGTTTTATTGTTGTCACAAACAAAAACGTTCCTTTTTAAATTATTGAACAGAAGTTATTAAAATTCAAATAAAGTCCATTCAATGTGTCCTTTATATGAGTAAGTCTTTGAATTCAACCATTTTCACTACGTTGGATATCAAGGTTAAGAAAATAAAACTTATTGTCCTGCTCATGCTTCATTGTAAATCGCATATTTGAATGTACATGGTTAAGAAGATTCAGGACGTTTGTAACGATTGCGGTGAACGAATGTATTATCAACATACTTGACATACAGAGCTTCCTTGTTAATTATCGTTTTGCTTTTCTGTTCCAAGTCGGTCATTAATATATCTTCCACTATTGAACCTAATAGACTCCCCATAGCGACTGAATCATCTTGACGTTATGAGGTGTTGTTGAATGGTAATTGTACATCTTTTGTAGATATTAGTAAAAGCTTTTATGAAGTCATTCTTTGTTAGACAAAGGTCAGTGTGTTCATACATATTTTCTATGGCTTCAATGAAATTGCAGTGGAAAATCATGTCATCAAATGAAATCAAGCAGTAAATGTTGGTGACTAGTATCAGACCCCATTAAAATCCCATATCTTTTGGCATCAACTAAACTAAAATTTGCAAACGCATTCCGTGTGTTGTTTTTGTCACATCGATGTCGTCGATTAAATCCTAATTTCCTCTTAACCGTACAATTTTCAACTTATATTTTGAAATATCCTAAAAAACGCAGTAAACAGTTGTTTGAGCTACTTATATATTCTTCATCTAGGTGAAGAAATTGCAAATGGAAGCGAATTAGAAGTTGAAATTCGAGCAGCGACAATACTAGCTGTGCATGTAAGCGATTCCCAAATTTTTTGATAAACAATGTATGTAATATTAAGGTAAAATTCTGAAATCATCCTAAGGTAACTACCGATTTTATCAAAATAGAATTGCTATTTCAATGTTTTAGGGAGATGTTTCCATATTTTTAAACTTGTTAATCTTGGAGAAGTAGCTGTAAAATAAAATAATGCACTGTTTAGAAATAGGGTTGATATTCTATGTTTAAACTCAATTACTAGTTACCGGTATTCACTTATATTCAGTCTAGTTCAACTTATACGTCGAATGTCTAGTCACATTTACATCACACTGCATTTATGGACATATAAATGATATATATCAGTCATCAATTATTCTGCCGCAAGATAGTTTTTGAGTTAGTATTTATATAATATTTCTGTGATCATCTTATATCTCAGTACACTTGATAAACGGTTTTCAATTTACTGGTTGTTCGTTGTAATATAAGACCGATAATGTGCAAAGTTGGTATGTATGGTATTTTTATTTGCACCAATTCATGGCTGCAATTTATATACCTACTCCTTAACGAGATGATTGTAGTTTCATGTTACTGCATGATCTTTTGTTTGTTCCCATTATAGCCAGATAAGGAAGTGTAACAAAGAAAGATCTTGTGTTTACTAAACCTGTTCTCACGCTTGACATTGACTAAGAAAGCTGTATTCCGTCAATTGGGTGCCTTTGAAATTAGATATCGAATTCCATAAATGCTGTCTTAGTGGCTAAAGAGTTGGTCTTTCAATGAGTTTAGACCTCGTTCTACTTATTTACAATCCATCAGGTAGTAATACTAGCGTAGAAATCAAGTGGATAAAAATGTATTTGGTGAATTAGTAATACCCTGTTATCACTTGGTCTTTAAAAGAGGTGATTCCCTAATAGTTTTCTGTCACAAAGTTTTTTTCTCTCGAGCTGTATTTTAGACATTCGATTTAACAGAAAAGATTCAGTTGCTAATTCTTTTGCCATGGTACATATCTATTATAAAGTAGAATGTATTCCGGAATGTTCGAAAAAGTTGGACAAATTATTTTGCTAACATGTTTATTTATTTTCACTAAACCTGTCTGATGAATTTCTCATACATGTATCCTTACTATACAATAGAAAACCCATGGAGTCTCTGGAAAGTGAGAATTATTACGAAGAATATTTCACAGTTAATATTGTATCTATTTTCTTCTTTCAGAATATCGTCAAGTCCTTAAATAGTAAAAATATTAGTTGCAATTCAATTGTGGTGGACAATTTTCTTTGGAATTATCGACGTTCTCATGCTGATGAAATTGATGCCAAAATTCCAATGCATAGGACACGTTGCATATACTATTGATTATATAAATATGATACTCCATGTAAACACATGTAATAGACATTGCGTTTAAACCGAAAATATTGTTTATATTTTTGCAATAAATTATTAGGACTTGAGAATTATCGTCCAGTTTTCAGAGGAGAATTTTTGCAACAGTTGCGGATCAAATGTATGGAGGACATAAAGAAATGATTATATTTTTAAAAACATTTCAGTCATTAACAGTGACTAATTAACATTCCTCCCAGAAATCTCGTAGGTTATCCGTATTTGATCATGTGTCATCAAAGCATTTCCCGCGTAAATCGCGACAACTGAGCGGACTGTAGTGAGACTAGGCATTAGGTACAAGGTTAAGGTGATAAGCCGGCTCATGAGGCTGCTATTCTTTGAATGAGGTTTTGGTGATGCATATTACATAATATACCACGAAGAATGTTATGAACGCCCGAACCAGCACTTGACACCAAGTCATTAGCTATTGATCATAAGTATTTTAGTAAGAGCAGAATATCTAAAAGGGATCTGTGTATGTACATATATTGAGTGATGTAGTTCAAATGCATTCCTTGTCTTCCCTGTGATCCTGAGTATTAAAATTGTTTTATTCACAGAATTATTTGTCTCTTCCTGAATCATGTTTTCTATACTTAATCTTTCCTACTGCTAGTGTTCCTACTATTTTGATATTCTTAATTTTTCCTTGTGATGATTTGGTTTGGCAATTTAAACGAATGTAGATTCGTGCTACTTTCGTTGTTGTTTTTGTCTACCTAATTGGTAATGTTGGTTGACCTTTGCCAGGAAGTAGTCAAAATTCTCAATGATAAATAAGGTCATAAACAGTTCTGTCCTAAACATGTTCATATATTAATGAGTCATGTAACTTGAAATTTATTCAACTTATGTCATGTGATCAAATGTGTGTAGTATATGTTGTTGTTATAATGTTTCAATGAGTAAATAACTAAGGTCAGTTTAATCGTTCTACTCGTCATCAAACTAAAAGTACATTAGGGGATTTGAACTTATTGACTGAAAATATTAAAATTAAAACATGAATTTCAGCGAAGGGATCTCTTTTCAACGAATTCATTATCAAGCTGTACAATCGTATATATATGAAAATTTTTGTTTTTTTAAAAGTACTAATTCCGTGAGGAAATGTGAACACAGTTAATAAAAAAGGGTTATAATACTAGATTACGTAATATGAATAATAATAATAACAATAGATTTGATGAATATAATAAGATGATTAAAATGTGTTTGTCATAATAATTAAAGGTCATAGAGGTGTAAAAATAAATAAGGTGATATGATGAGCATTTACGCATAAAACTGTGAGAATATAAAACATGAGTAAAGGGAGAATGCAGTAATAATAATAATAATCAAAATAATTAAGGCCAAGGTAACGATAAGACGTACTTCTTTTGTACGCATAGTTCTGGTTTAAGCTCCTGGATGGTAAGAGCTTCGGCTATTTTTAAAAGTTGGATGCGAAGAAATCTGGGTAGATTTGAACGAATCATATAAACAACCTTAAATTCATTTTTTGGATCTGTGGAATGGTTACAGTCGATTAGGTGTTCAAGTATAGAACTCCTAACTGCTTTCCTTTCCCCCTTATAGAACCAAGCTGGGATATGTTCCCGTATCCGAGTTGAAAGCGAGCGCTGGCTACGGCCAATGTACCTTGCTCCACAAGAGCAGGTGAACTGATAGATGCACATGGAGGCGACCAGACGCGGAAGCTTGTCTTTTATGGACACAAAAAATAAGTTCCTACCCAGATTTCTTCGCATCCAACTTTTAAAAATAGCCGAAGCTCTTACCATCCAAGAGCTTAAACCAGAACTATGCGTACAAAAGAAGTACGTCTTATCGTTACCTTGGCCTTAATTATTTTGATTATTATTATTATTACTGCATTCTCCCTTTACTCATGTTTTATATTCTCACAGTTTTATGCGTAAATGCTCATCATATCACCTTATTTATTTTTACACCTCTATGACCTTTAATTATTATGACAAACACATTTTAATCATCTTATTATATTCATCAAATCTATTGTTATTATTATTATTCATATTACGTAATCTAGTATTATAACCCTTTTTTATTAACTGTGTTCACATTTCCTCACGGAATTAGTACTTTTAAAAAAACAAAAATTTTCATATATATACGATTGTACAGCTTGATAATGAATTCGTTGAAAAGAGATCCCTTCGCTGAAATTCATGTTTTAATTTTAATAACTGAAAATAGTCAGGTTGTGTGCTATACTGTTAATTAAAACTAGATACTCATGTGTCATTTCAACATTAACAACTTTATTTTGTTTAACAATCTTAAATTCACATGCTATAACTCTAGACGAATGACAATGCCCTAAACCTCTCCACTTTTCGGTTTATTGATTAAGATATATAATTGTCGAATTTGAAAAGTTTAAACAACTAAACGGGAGTACGATGTTGATGGTATATACAGTAGTAAATAGAGGCGAAAGTTAGGGACAGTATTTTCTATTTGTTAATTAATAATTGATCAGCCCGATCCCAAATGGTCGTGTTTGATGAGAATACTTCATCAAAATCGGATGAAACTAGTGTGAGATATTACTTCTTTATCTCTTATAAGCCAACAGACTGCAGCCTGCGTGCCAATTAAAGTTGAGTCCTATTAACGAATAATCTGTTTGAAGTATATCCTGATGATATTTCTCAAAAGGACAATGAAAGGTTCACGATTGCACCTAGATTTCTCACTCTTTCTCGACTTATTTAATAGAGTCAGAAAACAAATCACTTGACGGAAATCCAGGTCACGAGTTGAAGCTGAGTTGTTTTGGTCACTTGGCTTCCATCCATGGAGACTTCTATTCCTAAACCTCTCACTTATTTGAATTGAGGAACCATGTACTAATCTTTATTGGAGTTCGGTCCTCTGATCTGGATAGTCTAAGTATGGAACTTACTTGTATTCTGTTTTTGTATTAAATACCTGAGTATAGCAGTATTATCACTGCGCCTAATTTCTAAAGCTATTTGTGTTCTTGTATAGCCATTCCATATTTTACTTGCACTAAAACGGATTTGAGAGTATAACTAGCCCTAAAATAAAACTTCATGTCGTGTTTACTTTGATTTCTGATTCCCACTGATTCATTTTTGCTGTACGGAAAGATTATTATGAACGTTGTAGAATAATCAGTTGTACTGAGTGTAGAGATCATAAGATTTGTCCCAACTTCTTTACATAATGATTATTTCCGTCTACTGAATTCTCAAATACTATAACCGTTTGTATTAACGCTAGCTGACATGTAATTTATATATCGACTCATGACTTCAGTAAAATTTAACTATATTCACAACCGCAAACTGAACGTTATCAAGCAACCACTAATGACTAGCTTCGAGAGGTAATTCTCGGAGTTCTAGTGAGAAGCTGTGACCAGTGGAGTTCAACCATGCCGGATGTGAGGTAGTTACCCAGTGAAGATAATGTAGATATCTTTTAGAATGTGTCGATTTCCGGAAAATACTAGTCTGTAGCTTACTGTTACGACTCCTTTCAACAAAACAATTGAAAGATGTCTGTTTGCGGTCAGTGAACTAGACTTCTTTAATAAATTTCCAACTGTTCACGGAGTTGTATCTAATCTATCTCGTCTCAAAATAATAAAAATATCATATACAGGAAAAGTTATATCATTATTATTAATGGCTTTACTCAATAAAGTATTAATAGCACAAGGCATTTTAACAAGTTTCCTGTACAAAAAAGTGAACGAAACTGATAACTGCATACATATATACATAATTTAAGTAAATAAACTACCTGGAATTAAATAATTTTATAAAGAATATTTTGATCTGTACAACCTTTTTAGTTAGAAGCATGTTTAAGAATTCATGTCATTGACTAGGTCAACTCTAACAGCCTGTTTGTCACATAGTACATATGCTAGATACCTATGCTCGCGTGCATGGATTCCAATGTATTGACGTATCGTTCTACCAGAAGATATGAATAAAGGAGATGGTTATTGTCTGATAATATAATAAGTACCGGGAGTTTGCAAGACTTTAGATGTCTGTCCATAACCAAATTAATAATGACCCCAAAAGATTCACTACACACCCTGCTAACTACCCTCAGCACTTCGCGATACAGCAAAGTCTTTTCTCAAAAGCCTGGGAATGAAAGGTAATATGCAAGAATCGACAAATTGTAAGCGTAAATGTTGAGTAATCACAAAAGCATGCATCTCCTTCATGTAGTAGGTGAGATTGAAAACTTTTTTCGATAACAATAAAACATGAGAAGACTAAAATAGATCAGAAGAAAGACTTACACCAAGGTAAATAACTCGTAACACTATCAAAGAATTTACAATAGTACAAGCAATATGGGATTCCAACAGGGTGTGTAAGTGCTATTTATGTCTCAGACTAGAGTTTACATTTTGACGGGTTAAGTGTGAGTCCATTGTCCAAGCTGACTAGTTGTTTGAAGCGATTTAACCAATCTGTATAATTAGGGATATTTTTGTGGGAAATATTCATGTCCTAAACAACTTATAATCATTAATTGCTTCAGGATTAAATGTAAATTTTAAATATCTTCTGTACACGCTTTAAAAGTAAGTATTGTTCTTGTTATACACAAAGAAGCTATAAAGTAGAATGGTGTACTTGATCTTACCAGTAGATGTAATTACTTAAGAACGTTACACAACAATGACAACTGTCTTGCCGCGCCCTCAGAAATTATCAGAATAAAACTAACTACTGAATATTAAAAAGTAGCATAGAGTAATGCACAAAAGTGAATTGAATGAGCAGATAATGAATGCAGCTAACACAAACGAACATAACAGTGTGTATTTTAGGCGAGAAATATGGATAATATTGAGGCGAATTATGATAGTCGGCCTCCGTAACTTTGTTAGCTGCTATATTTTCCAGGAAATAATAAATTTCCAGGTTAAACTCGGGAAAAGATTTTATGCTTGACATTCTCAATTATGATTTGTAGTAATAGAAGTACTTTTCATCCTTTTATTTATAAATATACGACTGAACTAAAAATATCAAGATCG